CACCGTCGCGGCCGGCCTCGCGTTCGGCCTGCGCCGCGAGCATTTTTTGACCACGGCTCATCCAGCGTCGCGATGAGGCGGGAAGAAGATTATTTTGGTAATGAATATCTATCTATATAGAGCGATATATAGATAGATCTAGATAGATAGATATAAACCTCCGTTGTGGTGGTGCTTGTGGTGGTGGTTTGTTTGTTTGATTTCTATGTGGTCTATAAAGGAATCCCGTTTGGAGGGCTTCTCAACGTATTCACGCGTGCTCCTTTTGGTGTCTAGATGGGTGATAGCGAGCCGATCGCATAACGCAACTAGCGCCTTTGGGGGTCTGAAAAGGAGCTCCGCTCACGCAGGTAGAAACAGAGAATGAAGAAAGAAACAAAAGGCACTATGTTGGATGCATTTAAGAAGAGATTTTAACCAGTACCCGAATTGCCGGTTTGCATTTTAAACGATTCCTCATCCGGTCGGTAACGCTCTGGCTCCATTTCTGAGGTATGACAGCCTTCATACACCACCATTGATGGTATCACCTCAGGCTCAAGCATTATCGCTTATTCAAGAAACAAATGATAACCTGTATGTCTATGCCCACACAATTACCATTATAAACTCAAATGAATATTACAAAGCATCGGCCACTTTGTGGATAAATAGGGAGAGAGAACGAGAGGCTGATAAGAATATACGCTCCGCATATGATCCCTCTTTGCGAGATCCCTTACAAGCGATAATGAGAGGAATGCAAAACTAATACCACCTATACACTGACAGATGCGCAATAATAGAGTTCTTCTATGCTTATACTGGAGTAATATGCTCCGGATGCGGTACCGGTAGAATATCAAGGAAGCACAGGTGCTCGCCGTACAAGAATGCTTTTGTATTCGTTTTTGATACTAGTGCCTTCTCCGAGGGGACACCTTAGGGTATCAGAACGAAATCCCGTGGGAAGCATACATGTGTAAATCATCATTACTATGATTATTATTTTTTGCTGTGGATTAGGCATGGCAATCGCTTTTCAACCGCATACCAGCTGCTTGCGAAGTCGCCTTCGGGTTTGGGGTTTCTTTTTGAGTTATCAAACGAGAAGACCCCCCAAGGTAATACGCTCCTCCCCATTCAAGCGCGAGGATGGGTAGCGTTGACTACCGATGTGAGACCAATTGCAAGGCATTACGAATTGCGTATTTAATCCATCAATATTACAAGCTCCTTAAAAGCATTCCCCTTGAAATTTATAGCGGCTCTGGAGATGAGCCATCCGTGCTTTCCGATTAGTTTCATAAAGTACTGCATCCTTGCGTATGTGAGAAAGAATAAAAGAAGCAAATTTAATGTCCAAGTGAATGCATATTCAGGCAAAGAAAGTATCTTTTCCTCTTTGTATTTACTCATCAATAAAGATGCAATGTAAAATATAAACATAAATATACGTCGAGATTAAAGTACAATTTTTTATCCTCAATTGGGTAAGATAACCTGGAGTTACTATGCGTTTCTCCATCGTCACAAACATTTACCTTAAAAGATCACGAAAAAAAATCTTGGAAAATGAATATCTCAAACAACATTTTTGCTTGTCAAGAGTAGAGATTTTTGCCTAAATATCAAACGCAAAGCTAAAACTTACACTATTTAATTTGTACAAATGGGGTTTTAGATATATAGCTGCAATAAATGAATAAATAAATATAGATATAAGCAGGTGTGGGAATTAACAATAAAAAGTACGCGTGCACGCACAGCATCAAACTATTTGTAAGGATGCATCAGTAGTTCACACCTGATGTAAAATGAATAAAATATATTAGCTTAGCCCATAAGTAAAAGTGATCACTCAATCCAACGAATTTTAACTGAATAAGTTGGACCGTCTTTGAATAGAATGAATATTCGCAGCTTAAACAAAACTAGGATAGCTCATAGAATCAACCTTTGAATAAACAAAAGTGCAAGATTCAAGTAGGTAACTAACTACTTGAACAAGAAAAACAAAACGAATTTCATCCCTAAATCGACTTCCCACAAGCGCTTCGCCTATTATTGACTCTTCTGTGATCCCAAACACGACTTTTAGCCTCTGGGTACTCCCTTCTGGAAAGCCGATAAACAGCAGCTTCTGTCCCCTCTCCCACCTTTTGCAAGCGGGGAGGGGGAATTCCACGAGGAAACAACAATGTCACCCTTTCAAAATTCACTACCACGCCTATTCGGAGCTTAGAATATCCTCGTTCTACCCCGTATGCCTTAAATATCACCCCATCCCGACCCGTCCATCGTTCCCCTCGTTCCACGCCGCGTCCCCTCTGGTCTCTGTTTATATATTTTTTTCTTTGGTTTCGTCTTCCGTTTCGGTTTCCCCATTGCCCACCGTGTGGGCTCACAACTCGGGCGCCCCCTCCTCCATGAGCTCCACGGCCCGGCAAATCGCCGGCGAGAGGAGGGTGGATTCGATCTCCTCCGAGTTGGCGGAGCGCGAGCGCGAGCGCATTTCGCGCGGGGTCCCCTCCTCCCCCTCCCCCTCCCGCTCCCCCTCCTCTTTCGCCGTCGCCTTCGCCTTCGTCGCGTCCTCGAAAAGCGGGCGAGGCGTCGGACGACCCCCATGGACGTGAAACCCCGCCCGATCCCACGTCGAGGGCGACCCCGGCGTGTACGGCACGATATCCTGCAGGATCCCCGTCGCCGGGAGGGATCCCCCGCGCGCCCGCGGCGCCGCCCCGCGCTCGTCATCGTCGTCGAAATCGATGAGAATCGCCTCGGGG